ACCTTGTGTGTGTTATTCCTTCTGTCTGGAATTCTTTTCTCTTCTTTGCCTTATTGTCAGCTATGCGTGTTGTTTGTGTTTTTAAGGTTTTTGGTGAAGTTACTTCCCTTGTGAATCCCTCTAGGTCACACATCCCTCCTCTGTGCTCCCCAAGCCCACTTGACCTATGTCGGTAATGGGACTAGTCATACTACACTGTAATTATTGGGGTTCCTCCCCCCATTAAAGAAGGAGCTTCTTATGGTTAGGGTACTGTTTTGCTTGTTTTAGAATCCTGAACACTTAGCACTTGCCAGAGTGCTGAGAGAATGAATGGGTGACCAAGTAATCTGAAGGTTGGGTATATCTCTTCCATCGTGTAGCTTTGTGGATAAGTCACTTCTTTCTTGGTTCTTCCTTCTATACAATGAAAAAATCAGCTTAGATGATCTCTGAGAGCTCTCTTGAGTCTGGTTTTTTTGTTGGCTTGTTTTCTTCCTCTATGGTTGTCATACACACACACACACACCTGGAAGTTGTTACCAGCTGTCATGCTGAGTAATTTCAAAGTTTTAAAATTCAGCTTGTTAGAATTCACTGCATTTATTATGGCCTGTCCCACATCTGTTCACCAAGTGAAGAGATGAGAGACTTATCCAACTTGCTTGGCCATGATTGCAGAACTGCTTATATCCCACTCTTCCTTTCTCTAATCTCCTCTCCTTGACAAACACAAAGGTCAGAGAACTTTCTCTGACATATTTCTCCAGAGACATTCCTTTCTTGTCCTACTTTCTCTCTGAGCTAGCTGTCTTGCTTCACTTTCCTTAATGTGGTTTCATGATGTTTTTGCCTTTCTGTGGGCACAGGTCCTGTTCTGTCCGTTCTCCACTCTTTATCACTTCACCTACTCCCTGTCCCTCCTCCTCTCCCTTTGTCCAAGGTGGAGAGTAGACCACCTCAGTCCCAGCTTTACACAAGAGTTGAACAAAAGATATTAGGGGTGAACTTGGGGTCTTGAGAAGGCAAAGCCTATATAGTATCTCTTTCTATAACATATTTTAAGAAAAACTTGGTATTTCTTATACTTGAAAGACTGAATCTATTGCTTAGGGACATTTTATGGAAACTGATGGATTCCCTAGGAAAAAGCCTCATACCTACTCCCAAGTGAAGGAATGAAAGTCTTTAAGGTCCGTTTTATAACTGAACAGTTATTAGATAACAGAGTGTATTAGCAATGCAGAGATGATATGACTCAAAACTTGGAGTAGGCACTGTGTATAAAAAGGGTGACAGCTATTAGAAAGCATTTGAAAGACATCCAGAGTTAAAGAGTGGTTGGTTTGTCCTGCCACCACCACTGCCATCACTACCATCAGCAGCACCAGCAGCGAGCATTGATTGAGAGCCTGCTTTCCTCTTATTCATTCAGCAAGTATTTACTGATATCTAACTACATGAGATATGCCAGTAGGAGCTCTGATTGCACAGTCATTAAAGCATTCAGCTGCTAACCAAAAAGTCAGCGGTTCAAACCTACCAGCTGCTCCATGCGGAAGGATGAGGCAGTCTGCTTCTGTAAAGATTTACAGCCTTGGAAACCCTTTGGACAATTCTGTGTTCTATAGGGCCAGTGTGAGTCAGAATTGATTGTTTTGGAGCTATAGAGATACTGGTAAACAAAACAGACTAGAATCCCAGCCTACATGGAGTTCATATTCTAAATGAAGGGAGACAGTAGACAAAGTAAGTAAATTATACAGTATTTTAGGAGGTAATAGATGCAAAATTCAGGGGAAAATAAATAAGAGGGAGTAGGCAGTGTTGGGCATTGTATTTTAAAATGGGGTATTCTAGGGAAAACCTCTTTGAGAACATGACAGTTACAGAAAAATAGACCTGAAGAAAGTAAGCCATGCAGATATCTGGTGAAAAAGGGAACAGCAAATACGGAGGCCCTGGGGCAGGGGCATGCCTGACCTTAGAAATGGCATTTACTCTGAGTGAGCTGGGGAGCCAGTGGAGGGTTACAAGCATAGGAATGACAGGATGTGACTTTCGGCTTTAGCCTAAAGAGTCGTTCTGATTGCTCAGTGGAGATCAAAGGGGGCAAGGATGAGACCCACAAGTAGGCTATTGAATATTTCCAGCAAGAGATGACTTCTTTAAAGTGTTAAAGAACAAAGATGTCACTTTGAAGACTAAAGTGCACCTGACCCAAGCCATAGTATTTTCAATAGCCTTCCATGCATGTGAGTGCTGGCCAATGAATAAGGAAGACTGAAGGATTGATGAAGTACAGACAGAATGCTCCTTAGAAATGAGAATGGCCAGACTTCGTCTCTCATATGTTGGTCACGTTGTCCCTGGAGGATATCATACTTGGTAAAGTTAGATGGTCAGGAAAAAAGGGAAGGATCTTCAGTGTGGTGGGTTGACATAATGGCTGTGATGATGGGTTCAAGGATGGTGTAGGACCCAGAATTGTTTCATTCTGTTGTACATAGGGTTGCTATGAGTTGGAACTGATTCAGTGGCACTTACCAACAACAGCAACATGCCTGTGGTTACAATTCCACAGGTTGTCTTTGCTGTGTAAATGAGGCATGATTAGTGTAGGGTGTGTCTTGAGTCAATCTCTCTTGAAGTATAAGTGGGCATGCAGAGCTGAGGGAAGATAGAAGCCACACCACATGAAGATCACCAAGGAGCCAGCAAGGACCTCCTAGAACCAGCGGAGACAGAAAGTCTTCCTCTGGGACCAAAGCCCTGAATTTGGGCTTCTAGCCTCCTAAATGTGAGAAAATAAATTTCTGTTTATTGAAGCCATCCATTTGTTGTATTTGTGTTACAGCAGCACTAGATGACTGCAAAAATGATGAGGCCGAGGTATCTGCCCTCTACCTTCACAAGGAGGGAGAGGGCTGAGATCATACCTCCTCTCACCAGCCTTTCCACAGTTCTGACCCCAGCCACCCCTCTTATGGCACACTCTACATCTCAACTGGTTTTGATTATTCGTTGCGATGGCCACACAGAATTCACAGACAGTACTCACCATTATGGGGTTTATTAGGGGAATAAAAGAAAAATCAAACTCATTGCCATGGAGTCAGATCTGACTCATAGAGACCCCTCCTTGGGTTTCTGAGGCCGTATCTCTATAGAAGTAGATTGCCCAGTCTTTCTTCCGAGGAGTGGCTGGTGGGTTTGAACCACCAGCCTTCTGGTTAGCAATTAGATGTCTTAGGCACTATGCCACCAGAGGGGAGTAACAGGCTACAATTCAAGATCAGAAACGGCTTAGGATATAGTTCTTTGGTCAGGACAGCTCTCAGCATGCATCTCTCTGGCCATCAGCCCCTGCTCTGCCTGGGCGAGTGTTAGAAAACTCTTCAGTCCCATCATTAAGTGCCCAGAGGCACCCCATTCCACAGCAAGCCTCCAGTCTGAAAGTGCTCAGCTCTGTCACTCCGTGGACCAGGAGTCCCGCCATGCAGTCTCATGCTGATCTCCTGGTTCGGTCGCCTCTGTGGCTGTCATTTCTGTGCCGTTGCTTCTCACTGTCTCCAGCGTTACAGTGCTCTCTCTCTCTCTCCCTCTCTCCCCCCTTGGTCTAGGAGGTTCTCAGCTCAGGGATCCCAGGTCCAAAGGGTGTGATCTCCTCCTAGCTCTCCTTTCTTGTTGGTTATGAGGTCCTCCTTTCTGACTCAGGGATGGCTCGTTTTAAGCCTAATGAGATGTCAAAACTGACCAGTCCCCCCCACAAGGGTGCCATGAACTTTATTTATATTATTAGCAAGCTATCCAATCCCCTTGGTGGGCCACAAGCACTTCATTTGCAATAGTACCACCCAGTTATTTGGTGGGAGTTACAAAGACTATGGGTTGAAAAACAACAACAACAAAAAAAACCCACTGCCATAAAGCTGATCCTGACCCATAGCAACCACCATAGGGTTTCCAAGGCTGTATATCTTTACAAAAGCAGACTGTCTCATCTTCCTCACACGGAGCAACTGGTGGATTCAAACCACTGACCTTCTGGTTAGCAGCCAAATGCCTTACCCACTGTACCACCAGAGCCCCTAAGACTATGGGTAGAAGGGGTCATATTAAGTAATTCACTGCACTGCAGTAATTAAGACAATAAATATACATATATATATAAAGATGTTTTCCATTCAGTTTTCAAAAAGAATGTTGTTGATACTCTCAAGCATTTTATTTCAAAATAAACTTTGCTCTTTCTCTATGAATAGATTTCTGCCACCTCCTTTTCAAGGTCATTATTCCTGATTTCTTTTTTTTTTTTTTTTTTTCCTTCCTTTTGCTCTTAAGGAAAGCATCTCTGTAAAATAGAAGCCTATAATACACCCTTCAATTATCCTCTTCCCAGGGTAAAAGAATAGCGTTTCATAATAAAAGCCCCTGGACTATGTGAACTCAGAAAACATTGTTACTGTTTTGAAGTACTTAGAGTCTAACTGCCTTTAAACTTGAAGTGGGGGTTTTAGCTGCATCAGAATGTAAGTGATAGCACTGGAACCCTGTCATATTTCTTATGTAATTCTAGAGTGTTTGCTTGAGAAAGTTATAAGGTAATTTGAGAATTGATAGAACGTGTCTTAGTTTTTCATTATTTGCCCATTTTGTGGCTGATATTTATATTCTATTCTAGGGGTTATTTCTGTAAATGGGAGATTTGTTTGAGATTCTGTTGTGGATAGTAAAAATCAATTAATTCTGGGCATAGTAGAAAATTCTAACTTAGTTTTGAGTCACTTGCTCAAGTTGTCCTTGAAACTATCATCCTTTTTGAATGTGTTTCTTGTGTAGTGTGTGAAGATCAGTTCAGTTTTCCAGTGACACAATTTGGGTTCTTGTCTTATTAATCAATAGCAGCAGTCAGAGAAGGCCTACTTACTCCTCCTTCAATAGAAGCAGACGGGGCTTGAAGAGAGGTAATAATTACTGCTCTGATCTCAGCATGTTGTCTTTTCTCCTTCCCAACCCAGAGCATGTCTGTTCGATCCTGGCTTCCCTCCTGCGGAACCTGAGAGGGCAGCAGCGGACCCGGCTTCTGAATAAATTTACTGAAAATGACAGTGAGAAGGTGGGTGCTTATTGGACTGTAAGATTGGGAGCAGGACTGGCAGGAATAGAGGGTTCTTTACCTGATGTGGTCTAAAGGGTGCTGAGTGAATGTTCCTTCTCTAAAATTTCTCCTCCACCATCTGGGTTCCATTGTTTTGTAGCTCAGAGGTTTTTCAGGTGTTTGTCCTTCTCATCTCGAAATGCATTGTCCTGGAAAGGATAATACCTTCAGGTGGTATCCTGGGCTGGGGGGAGGTTATTTAAAACCCAACAAGAGTGTAATGTAATAGAATTTAGGTGGTGGGGACAGTGGTACACATCTGAGCAAAATGGTTAACAGCATAGGCCTTAGATTCAGACATCTGGACTTGAACATATTTTGCTGCTTTTGAGATGTGTGCCACTCTGAGCCTCACTTTCCCTGGCTATAAAATGGAGACAGTAATGCCCCTCTTTTGAAGGGTCAATGGGAGGAGGATTGAATGAGTTCTTACTAGGTGGTGCTGGTGAAAATGAAGATGATGGTAACAAAATGATAGAGCCTGTCCTAGATGAACTGTGGAAGCTGGGAATAATCATGTGAACAAGATTAGGTGGATAGTTGACACTGTCATCTAGCATGCCAAGCCATAAGACATAACAGTAATAAGAGCTAGCATTTGTTAAGGGACTACTGTGAATTGGTGATATAGTAGGTGCCTTTTATTGTTGAAACCTGTTGGTTTGTCCCTGGGTGGCTTGTTCTGGTTACCTAGTGCTGCTCTGATAGGAATATACAACAAATGGGATGGCCTGAACAAATAGGAGTTAATTCTCTTACAGTTTAGAGGTTTTAAGTTCAAGTTCAAAGTGCCAGATCCATGGGCTGGGTGAAAGCCCCTCAGCCTTGGGCTTCAGCTCTGCCTCCAGCTCCTGGTCCACTGAAGCTAGAGGGTTTTCTTCACTCAGACAGCTGCTGGCTGCTGAGGCTGTCTAGCCCAAGGTTGACAAGTAAAAAGGCACAGTCCCAATGTTACCAAACCACATGGCAGGCCATTAACTCAAGTCCATTGTAAGTCCCAAGGTCGGCAGAGCATGGCAGGCTGCTGCTGAACAACGACATGGCTACATGCAGGGTCCAAGCGTGCCATAAGCTAGAAACCATTCCCCAAGGCTGCTGCTTAAATACAGGAAGCAGTCCACATTCCCTAAGACAGCTACTCAGCTGTGCACAGTAGATTCCACCATGGAGTTGATCACCAGTCTCATCATGGGGAATACTACATTCAGCTGCCCAGCCACTCAACCAGGCACAGCCAAGTTGACACACAAACTGAACTACCACAGTGGGTATTATCTACATGTACAGATAGGAAATACGAAGGTTAGCAACTTTATGTGACTTGCGTAAGATCACACTATTAATAAGTAGCAGAGCTAGGGTTTGGACCCAGGCTACCTGACTCCAGAAAGTCCATCTGTATTATCACATCAGACATAAGTAGGTGCTTCCAGACGAGTAAAATTAAGCACCAAAGCCCCCTTCCTTAACCTATAATAATCTGTTTCTTTTCTGCCCATGTCCAAAGTAAGGCTGAATTTTTTTCTACTTTGAGGGAGATTTAAGGTTGTTCTTTTAAGTTTTTGCAACCTCACCAGCAGTGTGGCATGGAGAAGAGGTTATTGGGTTAGGACGCAGAACATTTTGCCATTCATGTCACATCCCTGGTGACATCATTTAATCTCTGGATATCAGTTTCCTCATCTTTAAAATGGGGATTACTATCTTTCCTGCCTACCTTATCATGTTTTGGAATTTTTGTTTGTTTGACTTTAAATTGTTATTTATTTTGTTGTTACTGGGAATATACACAGCAAAACATAGCAATTCAACAGTTAGTACATATACCGTTTAGTGACATCGTTGACATTCTTGGAGTGTGCAACTGTTCTCACCCTGCTTTTTTGAGTTGTTCCTCCCTTATTAACATAAAATCACTGCCCCCTAAGGTTCTTGTCTCATTTTTTGAGGTGCTGCTATCAATTTGATCCCCTATAGATAGTTCTTAAAAGAGCACAGCATTCAAGGCAGGCCTTCTTTACTCATGAAGCTCAACAGTTTGGTTTTAAGATGACTTGGTGTAAGATTTAAAGATTATCTCAAGGAAATAGTTTCAGGGGTTTTTATGGTTGTTGTTGTTGTGTAAGGTTTAAGGAAACAATGAACGTGGAAATACTTTGAGAATTGAAATACATAAGGTCTTAGGATCATCACTGTTAGAGGGGGTTGGGTACACGCAGTCTTCCTGGACTGTCTGATGCCATGTGGAAGCAACATCTGCCATTAACCAGTATCAGCTCCTGGGTAAATACTGGAGTTGCCAAGAGCCATGCTGGTGCCAGCCTAATGAACAGATAGGTCAGAAGTCTGGGCTTGCTGCACAGCGTTCTTCAGTCCTTTACAAGTCTTGGGAATATGAAGCTCTGTCAGATCCAGAGGGTTCTTCAGGCTGTGTTTGAAGCATGACTTTTGCCAAGTTTAAAACTGATTTTTAAGTTATTGCTGAGAAAAAGTCAGTGTTTTTTTTTAACTTGCTGAAGGAGTTTTTCTTGTACTCTCTCTTCTGACTCAAAAGCAACTAAAGAGATTTTACTCAGGCCTTTTTTAAAAAAAAAAAAAAAGATCAGCTCTGGGGCAGAATCTGAACATGAAAGAAAGGCTTCCGTTTGAGAAAAGGAATTTCTGTAAAGTTCTAAGTAACTATCAAATATGTAGCTTCAGACTCCTCTTGCAAGAAGGGACTTGGATTTTTATTTATTCGTTTCTTTGTAACAACTTGGAATTGGAAGTCCGCGGAGGACTGGGAATGTGCGGTCTTCTTTGGGGAATGAGTGGTGTTCAGATTGTAGCCATCCTAAATGTTTGCTTTGTTCTGCCCCGCTCCTCGATCCATTTCTGACGTGTCCCTGAGCAAAGCTCATACCCGATGTAAGAAGTGGTCGAGGAGCTCTCCTTTTGTGAGGTGTGACAATGAGATGAATAGTGTTCCACTGTTTCTTGCCTTGGTGTTCACTTTCCTTCTCACTCATGCCTGTGAAATCTTTCTTTCAGGTTGACAGACTGATGGAGCTGCATTTTAAATATCTGGATGCAATGCAGGTGGCGGACAAGAAGATTGAAGGGGAAAAACATGTACGTATCCCTACCTTTTTTTCCCCAAGTGTTTTATTGTGCTTTGGGTGAAAGTTTACATAGCTAATTACTTTTGCAGTCAGTGGTTGATGTGCAGATTGTTCTGTGACATGGGCTGCAGTCCCTGCAGTGGGGCAGTGCTCCCCCACTTTCCGCCCTGGGCTCTGTCTCTGTTCCTCCAGTTCTGTTTCTTGCCCTGTCTTCTCATCTTTGCTTTTGGGAAAATGTTGCCCTTTGGTCTCCTGTGGTTGATTGCTCTAAGGAGCACACTCTTCGCAGGTGTTCTTCTTTGTTTGATAGCCTCGTCTATTTTTTGGCTAAAAGGAGGCCTCCAGGAGCGTCCCTGCCTATCTTTAGTCAGCTATTGACTTGTGCTCCATTTGAGTCCCTTGTGCTCCCATATCTCCCCACAAGACAGGTAAGGGCAAAGGTGCCTTCTGCTCTTATGTGCTGTCTAACCTGTTACAAGGGCAGAGCAGATATGGTATGCTTGAAGATGTAAATGCTTCTCTGACATGAGTGGAAGTCCTTTAAGAGGAAGGTATATAGGACTAATCCAGGTCTGACCTAAGAGTCTGGGTACAAGTACCTTTGATAAAAGCTTTTTTTTTCTTTTTTAATTGTGATTTGGGTGAAAGTTTATAGAGCAAATTCACTTTCCATACAGCAGCTCACATACACTTTGTCTCATGACATTGACTACAGTTTCCCACAATGCAACAGCTCCCATCCCACTTCCTTCCCATAGTTACCTCTTCCCTATGTCTTTCCCTCCCATGCACTCCTGCCCCCCAAGCTGTCTCCCTGTGCACACACAGCCCTTCTATTCTCCCAGGATTGATCTCTCCAAGGAGTATATCTACCTAATGTAAATGTTCAGCTCGTATGCCTGTCTTTTGTTTGGTTGGAAGCCACAGGTGTGGGTTCAATTCCAGACCTGAAGGGCAGCTAAGGGCCATAGTCTCAGTGGTTCCACCAGGCTCTCTCAGGCCAGCAAACCTGGTCCCTTTTTTTTTTTTGGTCATGATTTTGAGTTTTGTTCCACACCACTCTCTCACTCCATCCAGGATCTCTTACATAGATCTCTCTCTGAGTGGCTGACTGTGGTAGCCGAGTACCATCTAGTTCTTCTGATCTCCTAGTCGTATAGGCTAAGGATCACATGGTGTACCAGTTGGATAAAAGCTTCTTTTAAAATCTGGCTAAAGTGTGTTGATGTGACTTGCTACCATGTTAGAAGAGTGTGTCTTGGCTCACACTCTGGCCAGCTTTAGTCATAAGGGAACATGCTAAGGATGGGCAATCACAGGCTGTAAGAGCTTTAAGGAACTCAGAGGTCATCCAGTGCCCGTGTTTACGGATGAAAAACTGGCGATGGAGAGAAGGGAAGCTCAGACGCCTTGCAGCATAGCCCACATACCAGGTTCAAAATGAATGGCCCTCTTTTTCTTATGCTGGTGGTTACTAAGGGGAGTGAACCCTGCCAATGTTTTTCTTCTTGAGTGACTGTGCTTACTATGGTGTTATCCTACCTTCTGTATTTTTTACCTGCTTCCATTTTGTTCTCTGTAGTTTCCCATCTGTACTCCTTAATAAGAGCAAGTTTTCATGTCTGCTGTTAAATGTACAATCGTGCTCTCTTCCTTACAGGACATCCCTCAGTCCGTGGTCACATTGCACAATGATCCTTTCCTTGCTTTTTTCAAAGTCTGTGGTAGACCTCATTCTCCCTGTGATCTTGATTTGCAGAATCACTCCATTCTCTTCTCACTCCTACTGCCTCAGAGATACACTTGAGGCTTTTGAACCTCACTGGGCAGAGAGCTAGTTTCAACACCCCTTCCATCTGTGTTGTGGCAGTCCGGTTACGTAGCAGAGCTCTGTGCACTGGGATCACTCTGACACTTCCCCTCAAGTTATGCCTTAGGTCAGGGCGAGAGACTAGAGCTTGGAGGAAGACATTCACCCTGTTGTCTGTGTCTTGTTTCTCTCACGCCTCTCCTTTTTCAAAATATACCTTCATTTATGCCCTCATTTATGAATACCAGTAGATAGGTAACTTTGTGTTCTCTTTCCCACTCTTAGCAACTGTGTTTTTCATTCTTGAGATTTCCCTATGATCCCTAAACCTAGTAAGTCCTCAAATGTTTGTTGATTGATTAAATTGATTGGGACTTTTCTTCTTTTATTCAGTGATACTACTAGCAGATAAAAGGCAGAGACTGTAAATTCTGAGGCTAGACCTCAGATAGTACTGTGTTCCACGCAGTCCTTGAGTTCCACACACTTCACCTTCTTTGCTTTGTTCTTTGATTAGACTTTCCTTCCATCTCTTCTTTATATAGTAACTTGTACATGATGGAGACTTAATGATTGTTAAAGCGTCAGAGTAATATATTCTTTATCTTTGTCTGAATGATAATAAGAAACAAATTGAAATTTCCCTAGACTTTTGTAGGGAAAAAGCCATGAAACCATTATAACTCCAGTTCTGATGGACCCCACCCCACCCCCCGCCAGTGTTATCTGCTAGAGGAGATTCTAAGGGATAGTGGAAGGAGCAAAAGCTGGGGGGCCTGGAATTTTAGTGTAGGCACCACCTCTAAATCACTGCCTGGCCATGGCTTGTCACCTTGCCTCATGGAGCCTCAGTTCTAAGCCATCGGGTGTTACTATAGCAAAGGTGATCTCCAAGGTCCCAGCTTAACTTTTTCCCTCAGGTTTAGTTGAACATCCTCTGGTAACTCTGCCATTTTGGGCAATAGAATGGGTTAAAAGCACAGTTGGAGGTTGGTTGGTAGGTGGTGTCTTCCAGGTAGAGGAGCAGGCCAGGTGGAAAGGCTGTGTATGAGATGAGGACTCAGTTAGCCCTGGATTTGAATTCCAGCTCCTCCACTTCCTAACTCTGTGATCTTGGGTAAACGAGTTAACCTAAGCTTTGGTTTTCTCATCTGTAAAATGGGAGTAATAACCTGTTCAGTGTTGGGAAGATCAATGAAGATTGAGTCTGTGAATTACCTTGCTCAATTAAGTAGAAGCTGCTGCTGCCACCGATAGGTCTTCCTAGCTGCCTCTGGGATTCTTGTGCAACTTTAAAATAAACCTTTTCCTGAGTGTATATGCCTTACCAGATATACCAGAAGGGTCACTGTAAAAGACTGGCACATTGGCACCATGCTATGCTTTGTTTGAGGTGAAGATGGAATAGACTTTTCTTAAGAGAGACCAAATAGCTGTTGGGCGTTAGGGAGCAGCTTGCGTGTAGCTGTTAGGAAACTTGGCATGCTTCCCACAAGATTATTGAAGAGGGTGTGAAATTGATTAGCACTGACGGAGAGTAATCACTGCAGCCACTCTCCTCAGCATTCCCAGAGCCTCTCTGTGCCACAGGCGCCAGTGCCCCTGCCATTCCCTGACAAACATCTGTCTCCTTGATGCCAAGGCCATTTTGCTGGGCACTGGCAGACACTCTAAGGCCATTAGTGCTCAGCAGCCTCAGTGTTGCTCAGAGAGACTGGTGGGTGGGGGTTGAGGGCTGCGATGGTGAGCACTGCTCACTGCCGACACTCAGGCTCCGTCCTGACAGATGAAGCCGCCTCACAGGTGTAACGCGACTTAGAACAAAACAACCTTTTTTTCACCTCCCCCTCACACAGTTGTCTCTCCTAAATCATCAACAATTGGTCTTCTCCCCCAGCCCCTATTAAATTCAGATGTCCTACACCCATTGGGAACTCAGCAAATATATTTTTGACTTGAACACTTCTCAGATGTTTTGATGACATTGTCTGTCAAATCAGTAATGAGCAAGGATCCCACATCCTTTGCCAGGTCTGCAGTAAAAATAAACCTTAGGTGGCAGAGTCAGGTGTTGACCAAGAAAATGGGATCAGGAATCAACAGTGTTGATGTCGCAAAGCCACACCTCATCTGTAAGCCTCAGACTTCGTGGGCACAGTGCAAATGTCCGTGGTTTGCAGTTGAGCAAGATTCACTGGAGAGAATCCAGTCATCTGGCAAATGTTTGTCAGCGTCTGCTCTGTGCAAGGCACTGGGCCAGGCACTGGCCGGGTGTGGGGGGCGGAACTGGCAGTGAAAGAATGGCCCCAGGAATGGTGCTGCTGACGAGGGCTGAGGGAACCCGGAGAGCAGGGAGAAGTCATCTACAGCTCGGGTCACCCTGAACGGTTTTGTGGATGAAGCCTGATTCAAGCTGAACCTTCAGATGGAGAGTAGACAGGGTGTTTCCAGGCTGGGGAGGAGCAGGAGCGGACGAGAGGAGCAGTGGGAAGCCAAGTTAGGTCGTGGGGGTGTGGGAAGTAAAATTCCAGGAGCAGAGGGTGTGAGGAGGGGAGAGAATGGCTTTAGAGCCAGGCTTCTTCCTGGTTCTCTGACTGTGGACAAACTGGTTACGGGCCCCAGCCTTGTTTTCTTCCCTGTCGATGTTTTGTTTTGTATTTTACATACACATCCCAATTTGTGTACTTTGAGCAATTACATATGTAGGGATTTGGTAGCAGTAAATAGAACATGTGAAAGCTGCCTGCACAGTGCCTGGTGCAGAGATGGTCAGAGAACCTTTAGTTTTCTTCTGTCTACAAGGATATCGCGTACCTCTCCCCTACACACATGCACACACGCATATTTTTTTCACTTCCATAGCATTGCAAGGGTTTGCAGGATCTGGCTCTTCCTTATTTCAGCCTCTTCTCCTGCCCCATGTCCTTCTTCCTACTTTATACCTTTGCGTTCCTTCTCCTGCCCTGGCTCTTCTCACGCTGGCATCCTTCCCCATCTGCTCTTAGCTTAAGTGTCCCCCTCAGAGAGGCCTTCACTGATCACCATATGAAAACTAGACCCCTCCTTAACTCTCTGTCTCTGGGGACTGTCATCTCTCTTGTTCATCATATTCTTAGGACTTAACATAGTGCCTGACGTTCAGTAAACGAAGGACCACTGCTCATGACATGAAATTAATATTTGTCCATGGTTATTAAGGA